GTTGAAGGGAAACAATAAAATAATAAAATATATATAAAACAATAAAAATTCTCACGGCGTTTCGACCATAACACAAACGGTTTTTCACACCTGATGATGACCGTTTGTGTTATGGTCGAAACGTCGTGAGAATTTTTATTGTTTTATATTTTTTTTATTATTTTATTGTTTCCCTTCAATGTGACTTTACCGAAAGAGCTAAGAATACGTAAAAGTATGTTGAACTTCGTTAGCACCGTACGTAGCCAACCGTGCTAAGGATCCTGCAAGGTCAACTGTAAATCTGTATGGTGACGTCCATATCCACCCTGGTGGAACTGTTGACTGGTGCTCGGCTCAGGTCGTGCTGAGAACAGAATGCCCCCTGCCACAGGAATGTGGCATACCCACCGCTGGGGCTGCCAATGGAGGTGAACACTGCCCAACACTCGATGGGACATGGAGACACTTTTATTTAACTTTGGGTTCCGTAAAGAATGTTGACCGAAGCAACTCATATGCATACACACACACACAAAAAAACTCCCAACATCTTTAACATTTTCTTGTATTTTTACTATGAACAACTTTTGACTATAAATACTGCTTTTACCGCAAGTACAGTATTAATTTGATCAAACACGCTTTTAAAGAGCATTAAATGTAGAACACATTTTTTTTAAACTGTTAATCTATTCAACGCAGGCAGTTTTAACCCACAAATCATTTTCAGAAAATGTCTCAAGAGCATTTTACTTGCAGTTGTGTTCAATTTAATTTCACATCCCTGGCAATGTTTCGTATCAACTTATAATTACAATTCCACCGATTACAATAGAACATTTGTCTTTCTGCTCGAAGTTCACTCCAGTGTCAATGTGCTTTATTTTTCGGTTAAGTGAATTTCGATTGAGTTCGATAATGTGAGGTACAACACAGTATGATATCATTGCATTAACGTTGTACCAACTGATGGTGTTTGAAAATGAGTTTTGAGTCATGTACTACTGCCAACTGTAACAACATTGGCAAATGCAAGCCAAAGTGATCTAGCATTTCAGATTTATCCAACAGTCATCATAAACAAGAATCAATAATCATGTATCCATCAACATTATACTAAGCACTGTTGAACAGCAGGTTAGGCTTCAGAGCATACCACAAACGCATTAAGTTGTCTGTGCTACACTTTCTGTCTCTCATAAATCCCAGCGTGCATCTTTCCATGTATCTTTGGTTATTTTTCTGCTTGGTTCCGTGTTCTTTTTCAGGGTCTGTTTTGGATTATGTGGGAATAGGGAATGATTGCAAACGTTATTCTTTTAGCGCAATGGTTTGCTGCTTTTAATTATCAAATGTAATATTCCAAAATGAATAAATCCTGCTTTTGCTTGCCGATGAATTTAAGAATTTTAATCCTGGTCTATCCTCAATAAATGCCCTAAATATACATTTTTTCCCTCCATTTGTGTGCCTCCAACAATTCATTTTCTTTTATTCGGCAAACTTATTGAACATGGCTTTTTCTTGGCTCAATTTGATATTTTTCATTAAGTTAAATAATTCAGACATCCTGCAAACGTGTATAAATTTGTTAACGTTCTTGTGTTGCCCAGAACTAAGTGATACTTCAATCACTGTGTGAAAACTATATTCACACAACAGAAGCGCATGCATGCACAAATTACTTGACAAAGAACATTTCGCGATACATCACTGAATATACCATTGCTGGATTTCAAAACACCGTCTCAATGGCCAACAATTTTAAAGTTAATTAATATTGTAATACCAGCTGTATAATCTACAAAACAAACTATTATACAACAGAAGGGGATGTTCAAAAATACAATGTGGGATTAGATGTTTTGACTCCTGATATAATCCTGTAAAGGTTTTGAGAATGGGATGCTGAAAAATAACCACAGGCACGCATTTATGTCTCTAATCTTCAATTAAATAACTGATAACAGATTCCATTGTTATTTTATGCTTAACTCCTCAATTTGGCAGACATTGCTGCAGTTAAGAGTTCACAACAACTGAACACTCTAAAGTTCATATACAGGCTAATTTGCCAAAAATGTTGACTCAGCTCTCTAACCTTCCTTGGTTGATTATAAGGAGTACCACTTGGTGGGAAGTCAACTGGTCTTGTCATTTCGATTTAAAGCTTTCGTGACTGCAAGGATTCATCTTCTTTGATTCTTTCGGTAAAGTCACGTAGAATGAGAATAAAATAAAATTCTCACGACGTTTCGGCCACAACACAAGTAGCCGTCCTCAGTTGAAGAAACAGGACTGTCCAGAAGACGTGACTTTACCGAAAGAACCAAAGAAGATGATCTTGTCATATTATGTTACATCACCTCCTGCCATAGCAATGTGGAATGCCCACCACTGCACATTGGATGTAAAACATGAGAAGCCCTGCCTCATAGTTGCTGTGATCCCACACAGCGGTGCTCATTTTATTGACTCCAGAGGGGATAATAGGCTTAGTCGACTCCCGACCGGGATTTGAACTCAGAGTTTGAGACGAGCGCTCGTTCTTCAAACACACACACACAACTTCCTGTCAATGTGTCAATCCGCGTCTCTTCGAGGTTTCCAAAAGCAAAAGACTCGCTCGTGTGGACAGATTCTCCAGTATTGCCTGCCTTTGACACCCTTACCGCAGTGGGCTGCTCTACATGTAGCCATCGAAGAGCGGCAGAAAGAGGAACGCGAAACAGGGGCCACCAACTACAAGTAAACACACCTAGCTTTCACCCACACGAATGGCATAAGGGTACATCACACATTGAGTATACACTTTCAGACGTGCAACATGCAAAGGCTACTTTTAGTACTCATCATGTTACTCTGCTGTTATCAGAAAACCGACATCAATTACATACGTGGCAAAAAAAGTGTATCCCTTTAGTAAAATAGCCACCCACCTAATATTTATAAACTGCCCCATGTGGCGTGTCTGTACTTTAGTAGGCTTTACACCAGTGCAAATGTATAGTAGCGCACCAGAGCCCTTTACTTGAATTTAAAGCACTGAACTAACATCCGTAGACAGATTTTCAAATGACAATTAAATATCAGACCTTTGGAATGTGATCTCCCGGGTGTGTGTGAATGAAGAGTTAACACAATGAACAAAAAATGAAACGCAGTTTTGTTGAATCTCGCTGTACAGCGGCTAGTTTCTACTCCTGACATTACAATCATTGTACCACAATCCTGGGCCAAGTGTGGAAATTCAACATTTATATGGCAGGTATTAATTTTTCATTAAGAAGTCCATTGCCGACCTCTCACAAAGTGATACTCATTTCATTGATCCCAAATTGATGGGCTGAGTCAACCCCCAACTGGGATTTTAATTCAAAACCTTTCAATTGTGAGAAGTCGACAATAGATGAGCAATAATGAAATAGTTTTTTTGCTATTAGTCTTGTGTATTAAAATTTCTAAAAACACCTTAGAAAACCACTTAAAGCGATGATGACTTTACTATCCCTCCATTATTTATTATCTGCTGATGGAGGAGATATTTAAGTGGGAAATGAAGTGTGCTAGTTTTGGAGGCAGACCTGTTTCCAGAAATCAACCGCAATAATATTTCTTAACTACAAACAAAACGATGACTGCAGCGGAGACATGAAGAGTGAACATCAATTGGCCAGCGTTGCGAATAACTCGCCAAACATTGGTCCGACGCAGCGTGCTTAACTCTATTATTGGTTCTTTCGGTAAAGTCACGTAGAAGGGAAACAATAAAATAATAAAAATATAAAACAATAACATTCTCACGACGTTTCGACTGCAACACAAGCAATTATCATCAGGTGTGAAAACCACAGCAAGAAAATTTGAAAAAAGTGGCGGTTTTTTTAACGTTAGCACCACGGAGAGCGATTTGGCAGTTATTCAGATGGACGAGTCCATCTATGCAATCATTGGAAGGATTTGATAAACCATTTCGGGTCTTAAATGATTGTTCACGCTTACGGTGGCTATCAGACCACATCCATTATTTTCGTCTCCCCTCTCCTCTTTTCCGAACATAGATGGACTCGTCCATCTGAATAACTGCCAAATCGCTCTCCGTGGTGCTAACGTTAAAAAAACGCCCCTTTTTTCAAAATTTCTTGCTGTGGTTTTCACACCTGATGATGATTTCTTGTGTTGCAGTCGAAACGTCGTGAGAATTTTATTGTTTTATATTTGTATTATTTTATTGTTTCCCTTCTACGTGACTTTACCGAAAGAACCAAGAATATGAATCCCTGCAGTCACGAAAGCTTTAAATCGTGCTTAACTCTGTTTTACAAATCAAATGCCGCGAGGTGTCCAAGGTGATGGCCACTGGGTGTGATGCACACTTGTGAAAACACTGCGCTGTGACCAGCACTGCTCAGGGATGAGAATTCCCCTTCGGATCGCCAACGCGTGTGTCCACCGCGAGAGCAGTCTCAACTCTGACGACAAATTTCACTATCCAAGACTCACTATTATTATAATTATAATAAATAATCATCGGCGGCTGATGGCTAAATATATCGGAGACACAAAATCCTGTTGGGGAAGGGAGGGGGCGGTGTAGTTCATTTTATCATCTTTATAATGAGCAGGTCAATATGGCATGACATTTGTTGCTATACTTGGACGAACATCTACTTAATATATTTTGTGAGCATTAAACGAACGTCAACGATCAAACATAGCAGCAGACGTTATGTGTGTGAAACTTCTCTCGCACCGCACGTAGCCAACCGTTCTAGCCGGAGGCGCGACGAAAATATGCCATTGGTTTGCTCCGCGTTTCGTCGTTTGGCTCGACTCCGCGACAGCCGTCCCGGCGACATGTTTGTCGACTGCCCACCGTACCCGCTGCTCGCTTGGAGCCAGCAATCGCGACAAGACGTTGCCGTGAAACGTCCGCAGCGCTGCGCTTGCCATTGACGCGCGCTCATGGCCATTGCCGCAAAAGCAGATGCCATGAAATGTGCTGAACGTTAAATCTGCCCACAGAAATGGGCGAATACCAGCATCGTCGTGAGAATTTTTATTGTTTTATAGATATTTTATTATTTTGTTGTTTCCCTTCAACGTGACTTTACCGAAAGAGCTAAGCATATGAATACCGGCATGTTATTTATTTGGAATGTTAATGCGATTTGCTGGACTAATCCTATCGCACATCGTGTCACGTTTACTCCATACCAATAATCCGGCTAGGTGGTGCTGTCACAGAGTGATCAATTCACATTCGAAACCTGGTCGGGGATTTGACTCGGCCAACTTTCTCCTCTGGAGTCAATACATTAAGCACCACCTTGTCGAAATCCCGACAGTGGTTGACCTTTGCAGTGACTCACCCTTGCCATGGAAATTAGACATTTTCACCATTGGCTTTGAGCCACCTATGGAGAAAGACACCAATGGCAATTTGAGCAGAAAGACTGAATTAATGAAAGCTATATAGCACACTTAAAACAAATAAAGAGTTATGTATTTAATAGAAAACAAAATGCAGAATGTGCCTAATGTGTTGTTAAAAAAGACACGTTTGCACTGATTGGGTTGACTCATCTGTTTCTCCACGAAATATCGGTAACAATTGCCTTCCTACCAAGCAGCTGCTTTAAATTATGGCGAAATTTCAACATACACTGTACGAATGTGAGAATCACGAGATCCCACTACAATGCTTCAATTGATCTCTTTGTAAATGTTCCCCAATTTGTTCAGCTCCTTGAGATGTAGTCGCATTTGGAGGCTTCATAAATCCAAATTATCATCCAATTTACATTGTATTGTATTGTGTATATACTGCATATAACACGTGGAATAGCAGCATCTTCACTGGCTCGTTAACAATAATCCACCACTGTAAATGTGGCACCAATCTTCAGAAAATGCCTTCCTAATCCTCCAAAATATGTAATCTCTTTAACACTCAAGAGTTTTCAACAAATATCCACTGGAATTTCTCCAAAGCGTTTTTACTAAATAAAAAAAACGCAGAAACAACCTGACGGTTAAGAAGATGCGACCGAGCCCTTCGCCTTAAGTCACAGAGAGCATGTGGACTTTATCCGCCCTGACACTACAAAATCACTTCCACTAAAGGGAAGTTCCATAATCATGGACCACTTTGACCTGCCAAAGGCAATCTAAGCAATATTTAGAATGAGACTGGTGGATAGGCACATGACATCCCAAGCTACTCTGCCCAGCTGCCAAGATTGGCTAGGTGGCTGATGCTCACAATTTATGCCCCAGTCAAGAGCCCTTGTGAATAAGCCTTCGGTTTTAGCGGCAACATTAAGGTTGTTTAAAACAGCAGCCAATTGAAGAACAGATTGGTCATCAGTGTTCAAATATCCCGATGTTCTCAGTTCCGTCACTAATGGTTACAAAAACAAAGATCCTTAACAGATTTTAGGGCAAGTGCTGTTAGCGTGCACCTATGAGGGACGGCACGGCGCACCTGGGTGTTGGGTGGCCAGAACCACGCCCGCCCACCTTTGTCTCCCTAGTAGTGATGTGTACACATCGCAACAGGTACTCATTGGAAGTTGTTGAGTCGACCTCAAGGTGGCCCAGGACTGGTTCAGATAATCGTCACCGGTACTGCCCGTGCGCGGGAATCGAATTCAGGTCGTCGAGTTTGTTGTGCAGCGTGCTGACCGTGACACCACCGCTTGTCACACGACTAATAGTTGCGCACACACACAACACACACAGACACATTTAACATTTTATCACTGCAGTCAGCACGGTCCTACGCAAGGCCGATGACATTTGTGGAGGATATGGACAGATACAACCATTCCCCCAGTGTGTACTTTACAGGATAGCAGAAGGCTGGCGATAATACCAAAGAAGCGTTCGCCAAATGTGATGCATGCCCGCTATTGTAATGGATGCTGAAGCAATTTGATGTCCAGACGCACACGGATAATGCATTGTCACCAATGACTAAAGAGTACAAGTCCACTGTGCTATTTAATACAGACAAGGCACAAACAAAAGAAGCAGGTTCATTCTAGTAACATCACACATTTAACGGCGTTCATTTCCTACGTGGGACAACCTTTGGCAGGGATGACACACACTCCAACTGCAATACATTCCCTGTCTTCCCAGGAGGTTCCTCTTATCAGTAAAACAAACACCTAGGCAAAGCAGAAAAGTTGTTCCCCTTGTGCCCATAATCAAATATGCAATGCATATTTGCCTTAAGTTCTCAGTTTATAAACTGTCCAGTGAATGGGGAGAGATTGTAAGCCCATCACAATGAACAACACGGCTTTATTGGGAGGTATAAGCCGAAAGTTTCAAACTTAGAATCGAACCTGGCTCAGGATTTTAACCTGTCTCTGTGCCACTGATAAGGGCCTAATTCACACTAAGCCACTTAGTAGGTCTCCTCTGTACCTAGAATACAACATGACAGCTGAGATGCAATAACAAAAGAACATAGTAATAGGTTTTTACCCTTTTATCTGGCACCAAAACTGACACCTTTATACAAGGGATCATGTTTGCAATAACCACAACACAAGCAGTCAAAATGCAAACAAAAAGAGCCAACTCTGATAATGATATGCACTATCCTTGAAATGTATTGGTCCACTCCAAGACGGTGTCATCTGGTCCAAGACCAGTGGAGACTAGGCTCTAAGAAAAGCCGTCTCGGCAAACATGATCCCTTGTATAAAGGTGTCACTTTTGGTGCCAGATAAAAGGGTAAAAAACTATTACTATAAAAACAAAAATCGAAACATTCAAACATTCAATAAGTACGTCTGTATGTGAACCAATGGGTTTTAACACCTGGGTCTGTCCCATGACCTCCTGCCAGCGAGCCTTGGGACACTTCACGTGGCCTAAAGGTGCACCCATCCTGGCACAAGGGCCTTGGTGACAGCACCGCCACTTAGTGGCGAACAGCGGTTGTTGTTGTTGTTGTATATTTGCGGAGAAAAAGGCGGCTGGGTGTGGTGCTGGACACGCTTTCCCCCTCCTGAGCTGCGATGGCCTTCATAGGTGCTTGCTAACAGCACGTGCCTCAATAACCTGCTGAAGGCTGTGGGGGGGGGGGGGGGGTATCTTTGTCGATGTTTGAACGCGAAGTGCGGTGGCGCATTGCTTTGTGCACTGTGCTCTGATCCCGATGGCCTGGATTGAGTTCACACCTGTGCGCACCATCAGTGGTAAGTGGTGCTTTCCTGGAGTGCCCCCTCGGTCAAGTCATCGTTACATTTGTAACTGGTACGGTTTGTGTGCACGTCAGCGCTGGGGATACAAAGGCGGAGAGGTATGGTGCCGGCCACGCTACCCCTTTGTGTCCCACGCCTGGTCTTAAACGGTGTTCACGAATGGCACTCACCCTTACATTTGACAAGGCTAAACGGGGAAATCTCGTCCGAGTGTGTGTGTGTGCGTGCGTGTGCGTGTGCGCGCACGCACGAGTGTGCGGCCAACAGGGTCGGGGAGAGGTCTACGACGCACACGACGAGACGCTGCAACGGCACGAGACGCGCTTCACCGCGGCGCCGAGGACTTCACGACCTCCTCGTAGGGAGGCGGAGGAGCCATCGGCGTCGGGTACGACACGTGCGCGTACTGCTGACGGTGATGATGCGCCGCCAGCTCGCCCGGCTGAGTCTGGTGGCCGAGGCTCTGGGCGCCGAACGGGTGCGGCTGAGCGTGGCAGGCGAGCGGGTGCTGCGGGGGCTGGTAGACGGGCGGCGGGTACCCCGGCTCGTACAGCGGCAAGCCGGAGGGCTGCGGCGGGTACGGGTACACAAGCGGCACCTGCCCGCCAGGGAACGGTCCCTGTTCCGTGTAGAAGTACATCCCCGAGGGCAGCGTGTCTGTGACGGGGACAGCACACGGTGGGCACGGCGTGACGGTTAAGGGCCGTGTCCTTTGTCAGGTCCCGGCATAGGCTTGGCTCTAGTTCGAGTGTATGTACGTACTTATGTATGTAGAGCGTCTTACCCACTGTACGTAGCCAACCGTGATAATTAGAGGTGCGTTGAAGGACAACAAACTAAACACAAAAAGCAGTTCTGGAGAAATGAGCCGCCTCTAGCCATGGTCCCAGCCGTGCTCATGGTTTCTGCAAGCTGAGCCTGGCTCAGGCCACGGCTGAGCCGCTCACGCCTCTTTGAAAGTAACTAAGTGACTCCAGCCTGAGCAGAGCCGCATTAATCTATACTCATCTCAATTGAAAACGAATTTCTTCAGAACAGCTTTTTGTGTTTAATTAAGAGGACGGAGGAGGGCAAGTCACTGAGTGGGATGGTGCCCAGAAGTTAAAGGCCAAGGGGAGGACCTGAAGCCGGATGGTCGTGATGAGGACCATGGCAGCAGACCTGGGAGTAGCCCCATGGCTTCGGGGGGGGGGGGGGGGGGGGCTGGAGGGGGCTAAGCGCCCCCCTTATGAAAGCTCAATCGCCGCTCTAAATTATTTTAGCACAACCAAGCAATGGGCGTCACAGAATGTGCTCACTCACACAGGGGCTGAGAGAACAGGATTCACGATGGACAAAAGCAGATCGTTTCGGTGCTCATTCTACTGAGCGTTTTAACGCGTGTGTAACATTGCCCGTACCTTTCCCTCGGAGGTCGCGTTAACCGTGCAACAACAGGTGACAACAATTTGGCAGAAGGAAGGAAGCAATGGAGAGTGAGGAGTGGTGGCGGCTGCAGCAGCAGCAGCATTGGTGGCCGTGACTTCCTGACCACGACCCGTGCACGGGGTGTGGGTGGCGGTGGGAGGGTGGGAAGTGTGGGCAGGGTGGGCAGAGTGGGGAGGGTGGCACAACAACTCACTGTGGAACCTCCTGGCCCTGGGCCCGTTGGCGTGCGCGGTGTATGTGACGGTGAGCGGGGGCTGGCTGGCGATGCCGCGTGGCCCCAGGTACCTCCTGCGCAGCCACAGCCCCGAGCCGCAGCAGAAGAGGATCCCGAGCAGAAGGCAGAACCTGCGCCGTGCGCAGGCCAGGCGACACAAACAAAGATCCCCCGTGTGACGTGCGCAGGCTTAGGTGCTGTTACCGGGCACCTATGAAGGTGCACAAGGTGGTGGTGTGGCCTGCACCTTGCCTGCCAACCTTTGTCTCCCCGGCGCTGATATTTACACACAGCACCAGGTACTGACTTAAGGCTGAGTCGACCTAGGGGAGGCCCAGGACCGGTGCGGTTAATCACCACTGACGCAGAGTCGGGCTGACTTGTATACCATCAACCCATTAGCTGCGGATAATGAGTTAACGAGTCCATGCATTTGTGGATAACAAAAAAGCCCCAACACATTCGTCAATAACACTGACTATATGCATAATATATAACAAATATATATAATGCACAGTGTTTTTGGGTAATGGTCCTTCTTCATATGTAATGGAGAAGGGCTAATGTCTGAAACTACACCGAATATATATTTTATTTTAAGCAGTGTTATTGTCGAAAGTGTTTTGCAATTGTGTTTGTGCACCGCTACCAATGCGGCATCACCAAACAACTTCTTGCGAATTACGGATCGCAGGTAAGAGTCGTTTGCCATTGCCGACAACCACGGTCGCAACTCAAATCACTTTAAAGTGCGCAATGTCAACGCAGATGCCAAAGAGGTCAACTCCTGCGTCGGGAGCACGAGCCTTTCCCTCTCGGCGAAGCAATCGCCAAAAGCACATTGCCGGCGTGCGCGCGTGGAGGGAGGCGTGCGCACGCCGGCAGAAAGTGCAACCGCAGATCGCGCAGGCACTGTGGGAAGGGCCACTTTTGGTGAGCCACTCTCACAGTCTTTCCACGAGGCCGTGAAAATGGCTCACAAAGAGTTTCCGCGTGAAAACCCGTCCGCTTAGGCGAGATTAAAGATGAGACGACTGCGGCGATGGCGGCGGCGGCGGTGGCGGCGGCGTGAAGCCGGCACGTGCAGCGGTCGCCCGCGGTTATGGGGACAACAGAAGGGGTCGTGTTGCGTGCGTGCGTGCGTGCGTGCGTCTGCATGCGCGCCTTCTCTCACCAGAAATACCAGATGCGGTAGAGGGAAATCACACGGACGCAGCACTTTTTACCACAGCAATCTTCGTACGGGTGGCACCTGCAGGGAGTAGGAAGTGAAGGTGCAAAAAGTAAACACGACGCACATTAACAAGAGACGGGAAACAACACATATAGGCGTCTATCTCTCTGCGGGGGTGGGAGGGGGGGGATATCAGGCCCGGTAGCCTCCAGCAACAAGCACCTGTCTCACAACTGTAAGGTTGCCAGTTCACATCTGAGTCGGGTTTCAATGCAGCCCTTCATCCCTCTGGGATCAATAAAATGGGTACCACTGTGGGAAGTTAGCTGTTGTCAGTTTACATCGATAGCGGCCGCAGAGTGAGAGGAGCACTGCATCCCAATGCTCGCTTTGGCAGGAAGGACGCATCGATTCGATCGAGGTAATACGTGTACTGCTCTGTGGTTTACTTTTTGCAGCTGCTGAAAAAAAAGCTTTTGTAAAATGGTTATTTTGCATAAGAAAGTGGCCGAGGTGTTTCTTTTATGTAATCCACGAAGATTAAATGTTGAGGGAAAAAAAAAACACAAGCCCTCAGAAATGGGCGATGTCACAAATGGCAGTAAATTCCAAAGCACATTCACAGTGTGCAGCCATTACTGAGCGGAGGGAAAGGCGAGAGGGATTGTAGCCCAGGATCTCAAGGATGCTGGCTCGGTGACCTCATCATTGGGCCGATGAGTCATCTTATCAGAGCCTCAAACTAACATTGAAGGGAGGAGGTGTCTGCGTGTTCATCCACAGTGGCGAGATGTTAACGCCATTGCCTGGTATGCAGGAGGTTGTGGGTTCGATCCTGACCCTGATGCCTGTATATTTGGAGTTTGCATGTCTCTCTCCCCATGGTCGAGTGGATTTTTCTCCAGATCCTCCGGTTTTCCCTCCATATTTAGAAACATGCCTCTATGAGTATTTGGCTGCTATACATTTCCACGTGAAAAGCCACTTCGTTGAGCTTTCATTTGTGGCCAGGTAACTTCTTAAAAAAAGAGCTATACAGCTCAATGGGCCATACCTGGTAAAATAAAAAAAATTGTTCAGTTTTGTATCTTCCACAGATTTCTACTTCCCCAAGTTATTTCATAATGGTTGCTGAAAAGTCAACAATCAAATCAAATACATACCGTTGCTATTTTACTGCAATAACGTCCTCTCTCTCCAGGAAAACAAAAGTTTCTCCGAGTATGGAGATACTGTTTCAGGAGGGGTCTGCAATTGGTGTGTGTTTGGTCAATCACATTTTTAAGAAGGTGTTTGACATGTGGGAGGGAACCCAGAGTATCCAGAGAAAATCCAACAACCGCGTGGGGACAACGCGATATGATCAAAGTCATTGCTGCACCGCCATCTCCTGGCCATCTAAAATAATCTCAAATGCCGGTCCGGTGCGTTCCTATTCTACGATGCCCCGGGGACGATCCGCCCTAGAACGTCACAATGTTGCAATGTCTCACGTGAGAGAGTACGTGGATAAAAACGTATTATATCCATCTAACATAATCCCATGTACCGTGAAGAGTTTGTCCAATAGTACTAGCTACTTTGACTTTAAACATTGGCCCTATATAGGTGATAGGTGGATTTGATCGCCAACCGGGTAATGAACTCGTGAATTTCGATTTGCGAGCAAAGCAGAATCAGAATATTTAATTATACTGGAGGAATCCGATGAGCTATAACGCTCTTTGTCACAGATGTCCAGTAAGGGCGGGTCCAGAACGTGACACTAAAATCAGGGCGCGACACTGCTGGTCAGGTATTGCTTCACAGGGCAGTGTTTCAAGCAATAAATCCACATCGCCAATGAAGCGTTAACTCCTCCTATATTAGGGTCGCATTAAGCATTTTCTAAACTGTTAAAGTGATTAAAACCTTTGATTAAAATATATGTACCATCATGAAAAAATATGCTTTCCCAGTCAACAAGTTGATGCTGCACTGCCCAGGGCAAGACGAATCGGTTTCCATGAAACGGGGAAGCAGCCAGCATTGTCCAGAGAATTGATGAGGGATGCCTATATATTGGCAACAAAAAAAATACCTGTCCACCCTGCCTGTCCCCTACATTTTGAAATTGTAGGCACTGTGTTTACTGCTTTAGCTTCACACAGATGCTGCGCGCCTGTAATATTTGTCATGTTGCCATGGCTCCTCTTCCACATGAACCTCTTTTGACGGAGCGCTGCACACAACGTAACAATGCTCCAACGACTTTCCCCTCAACTGTGCATCAGTCTCCGCATGCGACAGATGGTTGTTTGAAGACTTCGGCTATAACAGCTGCAATAGTGCACTATATCACAAGGGTGGAATTATTCACTCCCACCCACCGCCCCATGAAATTCCATGAATTGTCTCTAAATTCAGTCACGATCTGATTAAAATATTTGTATTTTTGAAAGATTACATCATCTCCGTGCAGCCTTTATTGGGTGTAGAGATAACGTGCGCCGATTACCGTACATATAACACATTATCTTACAATCACGATTGCGAACTTGGACCATCAGTTTAAATATAGATATGAATCAATGAATAAATGGATACATCATTCCACCCCTGCTTATATCTCACTTAACCCTATGATATTTTGAAGCACAGGTTGCAGTCATATCCCATAATCGATCAGGTGGCACAGTGGGGTTGGGCATATGTCTCGCATTCAGAAGGCCACAAGACCAAAGTCTCGTCAACGATCGACTCAAGTCGTTCGTCCATCTGGAGTGGATACAATTACCACTTTGTGGGAAGACTATGGCGGTTGTCGTTCTAGATAGGTTTTGCCCTTGCCATAGGAACGTGGAATTTCCACCACTTGCTTGAAGCTGCGAAAGAGATGTATGCTGCCGCGCACTCAGCTGAGCAGGAAAGTGCTTTTGTATATTCTGACTGTCGAGTAATATTGCAAACGTGCTGTTGTACCAAATCATGCCATGAATAGAATAAACATAATTTTGTAGCTCGTTCTGTCAGCAGAGAAACGCATTAACATATTAGGGAATATTACTGGTAGGAAACGTAGTGGACTGGAAGCCCAACCGGGATTAATTCACAGGAGGCAGATTAATTGTGTATGTCTGTGGATGTCTGTCCACGTGTATCCGGACACCCGGATAAAATGGGAGGGGTGGGGCTGGGTGGAGAGGGGAGGGTGGGGTGGGGCTGGGTGGAGAGGGGAGGGTGGGGAGGGGCTGGGTGGGGAGGGGCTGGGTGGGGAGGGTGGGGAGGGGCTGGGTGGGGAGGGTGGGGCTGGGTGAGGGGTGGGGAGGGTGGGAGGGGTGGGGCTGGGTGGGGTGGGGCTGGGTGAGGGGTGGGAGGGGTGGGGCTGGGTGGGGAGGGGCTGGTCACCCCGTGGTGCCCTTATAAAACTCAACGTTTAACCTTCTCACGCCGGCTTGTGCCCGCCCTCACAGTCGGGCATATTTGCGGAATACACCACACCGCCGTTGACCCTGGCCATTGACCGAGCAACCCAACGTTCCTATCAGCTCCTTCTGCAGGAATGTGTTCCTGGGATATCACACCACAGATTACTCGTGGAGTCACGCCTATAAAAACCCCTCATGCCTTATGATACTGTAACGTGCTCCGTAGCACTCAATGGAGGTTAGTCCACATCACATGTACCAGAACGTGAGGATGAATGTTAATGCTCAAAAATTTGGGAAAGGTCGAATTTGAAGATTGTATATTTTTTTTACGAATTAACGAGGAAATCGGGTGAGACCGTTAACTCGTCACAGATGACAATGCGGACTTAATCATGGATGGTTGCCTCAATCATAACCAGGATCCCAGCAGCGCTGGCTCAGCACCGTGACGAGGACATTCGCCCCCCCCCTCTGCCCCGTACCGCTCTGGGCCACCAACGCACCTCACACACATGATGCCGGTCCCCTTCCATAACCGCGCACGATTCAGCGTGTGTCCCCTTTGAGAAATTCAAACTCTTGCTACCCAGCAAGAGCAGCGATGCCACCATTTCAGAAGCGGCTTCCATTTAAGAAACGCGAACGATTTGCGCCTCGCAATGCTGTGCGCACATCACAAGCACTCACCGATCATTGCACTTACGTGAAAGGCCTGCTGAAACCATCCTTGTGGTAATTACAGTACTTGGCTTCACAGGCCTGTCGAAAAAGAGGTGTTATTCATTATAATAATAATCATCATCAGCAGCAGTGGCAATCATCATCAGCTGTTCAGCACGGTCGTGCCTTAAAGAGGGCCATCCTCTTTAGGTCAATCGTCATTCGTTACAAGAGACAAATCAGGTCATTTAAAAAAAAACGTAGGTGAGCTTAAGTACGTAGTCATTCATTTAGCCCGAATTGCTCTAATCTGGCAAATCAACAGTCTGTTTCCACTACAGAAATGGAAAGTTTTCATCACACGAGATGAACAAAGATGATCAAACACACCATTTATTTGAAGAGGGATGGCATCTTGACTTATCTTGCGTGTGGTATGCAAGGTGGAGCAGTGGTTAGCGTTCTGCCCTATGATCTACGATAAGTGACCTGTCCATAATGGAGGTTTTTTTGGGGGGTTAGATCACGTACATAAATGTGGTGTTAAACCCGCCACCACCCGACACAGCCAAGTAGCAAGGTTTGTCACGTAAACAAAACGTGCCAATTAGTTGCTACTTCAGCACACCAGTGTGTTGTAGAGTAACTAATTGGCACGTTTTGTTTACGTGACAAACCTTAATCATTTGCTGTGTCGGGTGGTGGTTGGTTAACGACACAGTTATATTTAGAAGCTCTAACCCAACGTAACATTTATTTTCCCTGCTTAGCTGGGCCGTTCACAGTGGCACACTGATTTAATCTTAGAAAATCGTAGCAGGGGATTGGTGGATCACACAGAGACCATCAGTGAGCATGAGTCACCCACCTATTGGGCGATCAGGTGGCCTGATGAGGGCAATTCCAGCATGCAGGTTGCTGACCTAATTGTGCAGACCACTGAGTATTATCTACTTGTATGTGTGTGGGTCTCCCCTGGATACCCCGGTTTCTTCCCACACGGTAAAATATTGTGAAACACTTCATCCATATTCATGTGGAGGCACTATTTGATTACCACAAAAATAATTTGCATGGTTATTTGCGGTAAAAAGGACGACTTTTCCGATCAAGAGAGATAACACGGATAATAGGAATAATCCATTCGTGGGTGACATAATTTCCCATGGGTAAGGGGAGTAAATTGGCCACAAATGACACGAGTTTCACTGCATTCAAATCGGCGAAGCATCTCACACAAGACCCTCCTGAAAAAGGTATCTATATACTCATTAAGATTGTCCCCGAGAAACAAGACTCTTGATTACACTATTTGAATTGCATGCAAAGCCTTTAATTGGAATTCGACTTAGTGTTACAAAGCAAACACAGGGATGACATTTGATGACGATTGTGTGAGGTTCTGTGAACATGTTGCACAATACATACACAACGAGATGTAATTGGTTCTGTGGTTCAATTTCAAAAAGTTATCGCCTAAATTCTTACAAGTCTGAATCGATCACCACCCTCCTGCCTGTAGCTCGATGCTGCACTGTCTACGTGTAGTACAGGTCTCAACTGCTAATGCACAGCATTCCCAGGGGTAATACCAATGCTGTAGCTGCCAACAACAGCAAGACTAAAACAACAGGGAGAGTGATCAATGCAGTCTTTCAACGCCAGCTCTACAGTGCACGCGTGGGCTCACGGGACGTGATCCATAACTGTCGCTAGGTTTAACAAGTCATTTGAAATATAATTTGAATGACCCTTTTCAATTAGCCAATGGTTAAAACTATGATTTCGGCGTGTAGCTAAACCACGTGTGGCTGCTGCTGCGTTTATAATTTGTGACGACAGCAAAAATAATTTAATAAAATATATCCAGTAGACACGTACGTAGGCTGGGTGTTCCACTGTCCCACGTGAGTTTGAAGCTTAGTTAATAAAAAATACTTTATAGTTACAGTAAAGCATGGCACCGTATTGTCCTTTAGGGATATCACTGTGTTGATGTTGAACGAATATGTATGGGAGTGACTTCACAATGACATCACGAGTGCTAAAATGACACACTTGATCATGAGGGGTGGCAATGGCATTGCGAGGCCTTCATCCAACAGAGGATAACAAATTGCTGATGCTGAGATTATGATGATTAGTCAGGTGTGCTACACTGCTTAGCACGTTGCACTTGTAATGAGATGGTCAAATCACAGGCAGAGGTTAACTCAGACGATCATCCCTCCGGAGTTCACAAAAAATGAGCACTGCACTATTCTGTGGGAGTTCATGATGGTCGTGGACCTTGTTCTGCCATAACAATGGGGAATTCTTACCACTCACTGGCTAGGGTTGCCACCTATCCTGGTTTTCCCAGGAGTGCACTCCTTTTGTGGTGGCTGCCGTGCAAGCAATTCGAGGACTGCAGTTTAACACGTAGGCTTTCGCGACCAATATTATCCATGAGAGGTTTTCTTTCTTCCAGGAATCGTTGCAAAATCCCAGTTTCATTTGCAGAATACATAATGTGCCTCTCAAGACAAATTTATTGCATGTATACTTCTCCCCTATTATGGTATACTGTCTTCTTATTCCTACGATATGACCCAGTTTTTTTTTGTCTGACCTCAGAGGTCGGAGCCCTACTGCTGGCTCTGGGCAGTACTTTGGGGAAGGCTACATTCCCACGCCCACTTGAGAAACCGCTTCGACTTTCTATAGATGTAGCGTACAGTGCTCTTTGTTGTTGTTGCTGTAATATTCATGGCTTGTGTGCTTAAGAAACGATTTGTATGGGCACTTAGTCACGACTGGTTAAAATATAGATTACACCAGAGACAATAAATGTCAAACATTATGAGCTGGACGCAGTCCATATGCACACGACAAACCGTATACACTCATACGGTGACTAACAATAAAAATGTATTAAACAGATATTTTGATGGCATGATTATGGAGTAATGAAGAGTGATTTTTATTTTTCTCTCTCCAAACTCTAGACTGTGCAACCACCTTGACATCAGTACAGCTTGCCCACTGGGACATCACGTACAACGTGCTTTAAGTGTATCCTACAGCCACACACCCAGGCTGCACTGCATCAAATTGACATGTGGGAATTATTTGCAGCAAGATTCTGGACACGGCAATGCGGCCGAGTCAATGCCAATTGATGTTTCTCATTATAACACGTGTGTCATATCGCACTGCCACAACACACTCAAGGTTCAGATACACAGTGCAGCACATTAGGGTGGACAGCCCAATCTAGACACGGATTAAATTAACCGCACCTCCGATTTGCACGGGGAGCTATGTATGGTGCGAAAGAAGTTCAACATACAGATCAGTTTGCGTGGAATCCATGGTGCAATTGTCAGATAATTTTCGCTGCCTGCATAGTATTTTTTGGGTGAATTACGAAAACACGATATCGGACTGTAGAGTATCTTCTCTGCAAAAAAAAAGTTAAATGCCCTTCGTGCTTCATGTAAATTTGTGGCAGTGATCATCACTGTTGTTGGTCCTGAGACAGTGGTGTAAATTATAAATTCCTAGGACCAATGGGAAGTCTCTTTATGTAAAACCAGGCGAGACACTAAATTTGAACTCAACACCCGATTATGAGTCGAATACTTAAACCAGCCTTCGATAAGACCTGTCCAAATTCGAGTGTAAGATATTATATATACTGTATCACCAATTATAATGAGTTGGCACACGTAATTTACTGAAGTTTATTGCAAATAGCGTGTATATGTGTCAATATACATGTACTGTTTATGGTGCTCCAATCTACAAACATCGTGGATTTCTGGAATTCCTCCGGGAGCAGATAATTCCTCTCATATTCCGCGGCACGTTGGTGGCATCCACAGTTTATAACACTTTATTCTAATTTCATTCTAATTGTATTATCTTGTTGTAATTTGTATTCAAGTAATATATTTGTTGTCAAAGCGATACGCATTTCAAAGAGGCCGCTGGCTTCATTCGCCACGTGAGCTCTGTGAAGTTTTTGAATCGCGAAGCTGCAGAGGGCATCACGGATATACAATTTTGGTTTTTGCAAATGTTGCATTTATTTAGCATCAGCACAGACCAGCTGTGCTGATGTTGATTTTTTTGGTAGAAGAGAATGTTGCATGTTTTAGAATTGGATATCAAGTCAAAAATAATGCAAACATTCTTTAACATAGACCCATAATCGCAGATTGACACTATTTGGATCTGAGAAAACTCGTAATCTTGCACTCCGGGAATTGATCACGGATTAGTTTGGCCACTCACCACTTGCCCACTTCCCATCATCTGCAATTTGTTTGTGGATTGATGGCAGTTGTTGTTGTTGCTAGTTCCTCCGGTGAACCGCCACACACTGCGTCGTCGCAAACTATTCACGCGGACGACAGAAACTCTACGGCACGCCACGGATTACGGGACTCACGATACGGCCCTCTCCCACCCCCCCCACCCCCCCATATCACCACGAATTATTGGAGTTCTGTTATCCAGTACAGCATGTACATTGTCTTGGTTTTCAAGTACTGATTTGGCATTACATACAGCAACTGTAGTTAATACACTGCATTACGGTCCCAGGTAACCAGGTTCAGATACAGATAGCTACCCATGCACAAGTAGCAATGAAAAGGGGACTACTGCACCGCTCCTAAGTTGATGCCGCCCTGAGTACAGGAGTTGGTGTAATGTGGAGACCTCAGAATTGGTGGCTTACCATTGTGGTGGCTTCACTACCCCCTCATTTGCCAGGTCAGTGTTGATAAGTGCTTGCAAACAATTTCTGTACAGTATTGATAAAGAGGAGGCATCTTTATCTTTATGTTAATCATTAACACACCGTACTTGGGACAAGATGCGGGATATATACGTTATATTGGAGGTTTGGTCAGGATATACTGAACTTTACACAAGTTGATGGAGCAGCAAGCAAATCATGGACAAAAGCTTGAGTCCACGTGCAGGCCTGGTGAACTTGCATCCAACGCAACCCTGGGACGAGTAAAACGAGTACCCACCACGTGGTAACGTTGCATCACTTGATGGGAATTCAACCCTGGTTGCCTTATGAATCGACTGATTCCTGCCGTGGGAATATGGAATTTCAACAACTGGGTTCAGGACTCCCAACGGGCATGACAGCCACTCAATCGATGTTCCTTTGAGAATGAAGATACGGCTTCCTTGTGTAAATATACCCATGAAATGTCGAGTAGTTCTTGGTGATACAGTATATAATAACAATGGGCATGCTCTACTAGATTAGAAAGCAGATAACAGAGGTTGTTGTGTTTAATACACACCAACTTTAAAAATTGTTAACAAGGTATTTCAATAATTAGATTTTACACTAGAGTACGCATTAAATAATTGAATGGATACATGCTATTGTGTATAAACAGGCATACACAACAGTAATTGCAATTTATAATCTGAGAGCACTCAACCTGAGTGATTTAATATTTATACCAAACATACAGTAGATACAATGAGAGATGTGGCTGCGTGGGACTTTGGTCAGAGTGCCTTCACTCACAGCCCATCATCCCCCTGGGTTGATACAATGAGTACCGCTTTGTGTGAAGTAAAACAAGTACGTGACATTCCCACGGCTGGCTGCATCATGCGCTCAGGACCTCCAACAGAGACGATTGTCAGTCACTTTGTGGAGCATGGATGAGCTCTGACATTGACTGGCACAGACAAACACACACGAGATCCCAGTCACGTTGTGTGTGCATTTCTATTTCACCTTACCGTCACCGTTCACTTAGTGTATACAATACGTTACTGTACTTTTGTACACTTTGCCGGGCAGCCTTTGTATTTATTGTTTGCATGAAGAAAGACACATGGACACGTGTTCTCGTCATTGTTCAAATCCCTACAATAATAATAATAATCTCATGCACTTGTGTTCAACTACAGTCAAGGGAGCAGGCCAACTTGCCCAAACGCTGTCCACATATCGTTTGAGAATACTTGTCGTGTAAGCGGACCACGACAATGAAACACGCGACGCGAGTGAAACACACAAAGGCGGCATCACCGTAGCACAACGCGTGGCTTGTCAGCCCACTGTGTTGTGGGACAATGTTGACATTTGCTCACGTAACGGGAAATGCGAGCGGGGAACGAGACTACTCGACTCCACGTGCTTTTGCAATCCATCAGAGCCACCCTCTATAACACAGCAATGCCAATGCATGTGCCACACCACTGCAACCGCGGCTAGTTTAAAAGAACCATGCACTTAGTGTGCTTTATGAAGTGTAACATGTATAGATGGCAGTACTCCACTCAATATACTCGTACTAGACCGGGATAGTGTGGCATTGAAGGGACAAATTGAGACTTTTTTTTGTTCAAAGCCAAAGCACTGCGAGTCTCCCCACCAACCTCAACACATTTGTTTGTGCGAATATTCGAAACGATCTCTCTCTCTCTCCTCTGTATGCTATTGAGCCATTCTCCTACAATATTCTATCACCTATGCTCACCCGTGGTAACCTTTAGGTCACGCGAGGATTGTGCGCTTATAGACTGTGCTAATTTACCTGTTGAGGACAGAGGCAGTCATTAGAAGCATGCGTTTGCAGTATTTGGCTGCTATAAATGTCCACGTGCTGATAAGCCACTACTACACCTTGAGCTACAATGACGCGTGGTAAGGTCGCTTCTGAAAACGAGCTATATATATAACTCAGTGGGTATTACCTGCGAACAAAAAAAATCGCAGTTAAAATAGTATCTACGTGATTTGACCGAAATAACCAAAGAGTAATAGTATCGTAGTTGGTTTTCTGAAAACAGCCCTCTATCAACGAATGGCCCAGACTGTATGAATTACAAGGGCGTTAGATTGTGGGTACTGTTGTATCCTGTAAGCTGCAATACCTTCATGTCAATCTGCCTGCCCATGGTCAGATGATCCCATCGACTCAAGAGACCCGGTGGTGGTGGTGCTGCTGGTGGTGGTGCTGCTGGTGGTGGTGGTGCTGGTGGTGCTGCTGGTGGTGCTGGTGGTGCTGCTGGTGCTGCTGGTGGTGCTGGTGTTGCTGGTGGTGCTGCTGGTGCTGGTGTTGCTGGTGGTGCTGCTGGTGCTGGTGGTGCTGGTGGTGCTGGTGGTGCTGGTGGTGCTGCTGGTGGTGGTGCTGGTGGTGGTGCTGGTGGTGGTGGTGCTGCTGCTGCTTGTAGTGGTGCTGGTGCTGCTGCTGGTGGTGGTGCTGCTGGTGGTGGTGCTGGTGGTGCTGCTGGTGGTGCTGGTGGTGCTGCTGCTGGTGGTGGTGCTGGTGGTGGTACTGGTGTTGCTGCTGGTGGTGGTGCTGGTGGTGGTGGTGCTGGTGGTGTCAAATTGCACATTCCCAGACGCCACCATCACCTTCCCCTCCTCATGGCCCTGCCATCACATCCCGAAGCAGCTGGTGCGAGACTGTCCCCACAACCGGCGCTTGACCTTGACCAGGGATTGAACTCTTGTGGTGTCATCTCGCACTTGAGGGATGAAGCCCCACGTGGACATTCACTTGCAAGTTCACTGTTGTAAAGCGCTGCCAACAGAGTAGCCCATGTCGGATGCACCAATGCTGTCCAGCGCCACGTGTATACGTTACCGTAGAGAAAATGCTCTTACAATGCAATAATTCAGAATAGTATTTCAGGGCAATATGCGCTGTCATGTATGCAGTAGCAGTCCTGTAGGGTAACGCATGTTTTAACATGTTATATGGGCACACAGAATAGCTGGACAGTGAATCCTACATGGTACTTTAACAATCTTGACATGGAGCAGTGCCGTTGTGATAATTTGTAAGCTATGTTCTCGATACACGCGTTAATACATTACATTAAATTACTTCTTCATATAATAGCATTGTTTGTGTGGAGTATGCACCCTCATTAGTGCTTACATTGTATTCAATTCTTTTGCATAACATGTATCGTATTGGCATATTGGTATGCACATTGTGTTCGATTATTATGGATATAGCATTGTATATGTAGAAGTCTCCTTTTTGATACACATTGTACTTAATAACTATGCATATACTGTACAGAACAATATGTATATAATTGTATATGTAGAGTACGTATCAGTATTGGTATATACATTGTGTTCAACCATTATATAAACTCAATATAACATCGTATTCGAACACACTTAACAACACACCACACGTAGCAACACACCACACGTAGCAACAACACACCGCACGTAGCAACAACACACCGCACGTAGCAACACACCACACGTAACAACACACCACACGTAACAACACACCACACGTAACAACAACACACCGCACGTAGCAACACACCACACGTAACAACACACCACACGTAGCAACAACACACCACACGTAGCAACACACCACACGTAGCAACACACCGCACGTAACAACACACCACACCACACGTAGCAACAACACACCGCACGTAACACACCACACGTAGCAACACACCACACGTAGCAACACACCACACGTAACAACAACACCCCACACGTAGCAACACACCACACGTAGCAACACACCGCACGTAACAACAACACACCACACGTAGCAACACACCACACGTAACAACAACACCCCACACGTAACAACAACACACGTAACAACAACACACCACACGTAGCAACAACACCCCACACGTAACAACAACACACCACACGTAGCAACACACCGCACGTAACAACAACACCACACGTAACAACACACCACACGTAACAACACAACGAACGCGCCGTGAACACAAACGTTACACACAAACAAACAACCATAACCCACACCGCGTACGTTTGACGTGCAACAACCACAACAATAAACAACAATCAACAACAACAACACCACCACCAACAACAACGCCGCATCCTCCGAGAGTCACCTCTAAGATCGCGGCGGCGATGGCGAGCGGCAGCACCATCACCACCGTCATCGTCATCCTCCTCCTCGTCCTCCTCCTCGTCGTCTGCCGCAAGCTCGCCCACGCCTCAGTGGCATCACGCGGCCTCACACCACGCCAAGACTAACACCACTCATCATCATCTGCTGCTGTTGTCATTACTGTGGTGGGGTTTTGTTAAACGTTTCAGCGAGTTCAGTACCGGCCCCCGTCGCGGAGCTGTCAAGCCCGTGTCTTGTGTGTGACGATGGTTTGGTGGTGGTGGTGCTGATGATGGTTGTGTTCGGGGTTGTTGTTGGTGTGTGTGCAACGTGGTTCTAACAACAGCGCCCTGGAGCACGACGAGCCAACAATAACCTCTCCTGCAACATGGCGCTCTGACAGCAGCACACACACACAGTCACACACACACAGTCACACACACACACACAGTCACACACACACACAGTCACACACACACAGTCACACACACAGTCACACAGTCACAGTCACACACACAGTCACACACACAGTCACACACACACAGTCACATACACAGTCATACACACACACAGTCACACCCACACAGTCACACACACACACAGTCACACACAGTCACACACACACAGTCACACACACACAGTCACACACACAGTCACACACAGTCACATACACACAGTCACACACAGTCACACAGTCACACACACAGTCACAGTCACACACACACAGTCACACACACAGTCACACACACAGTCATACACACAGTCACACACACAGTCACACACACACAGTCACACACAGTCAGTCACACACAGTCACAGTCACACACACAGTCACACACACAGTCACACACACACACAGTCACACACACACAGTCACATACACAGTCACACACACAGTCATACACAGTCACACACAGGCACAGTCACACACACAGTCACACACACAGTCACACACAACAACAACCGCCATTCGCCACTAAGTGGCGGTGACGTCACCACGACGCTTGTGCCAGGCTATGTGCACCCTGAGTCCACGTGAAGTGTCGAACGCCCGCTGGCAGGAGGTCACGGGGCAGACCCAGGTGCCACGGGTCGACTGACTGAGATGACTGGCTGATGCACCACCTGTGCCCCCTACTGTGCCAACCTGTTGTGCTTTAGTCACCCGGCGCTCCGCTCGTTGTTGTGAGCGTCGCTCCTCCGCCCTCCGTTGTTGTTGGAGGGCGACTGCCTCCAACTGCCCAGTAGCATCCTTCACGAGCCTCCTCCACAGAGGCCGATCTTGACACCGCTGGTACCAGTCATCGGCAAGTCCACTCAGCTCCACGTCCTCCTGTACCACATCACTCCATCTCTTCTCTAGCCCATGCCGCGCCCGCTTAGCCCCCTCAATCCGGCCGAACAAAAGCTGTTTCGGCATGCGTTGGCTGGGCATGCGGGCTACATGACCCATCCAACGCAGCCTTGCCTGCCGGAGGAGCTCACCGATGGGACCTTGCCCAGATCTTTCAAGGATTTGTGAGCTTCTCACACAATTCAGTCTGGTTAAACCCAGGATGGATCGTAGGCAGGCCAGCCTAAATGTTTCTAACCGGCGAAGATGTTCCATTAGGGGGGTCCACGTTTCGCAAGCGTAGAGAAGGGAGGGAATGACCGTGGCCGAGAAGACCTGAAGCTTAGTGCGGAGCGACAGACCAGGTAGCTTCCACACAGCGTTACGCAACCGATGAAAAGATATTGCCGCTCGACTGATTCGGAGTGAGACCTCTGCTGTTAAACTGGAGCCAGTCATAAGCACACTACCCAGGTATGGGAAACTCTCCACTCTATCCACAACTGCCCCATCACCGATTGGGAGTTGTGGGGGTGGAGTGTCCGATGGTACAAAATACCCAGGCAGGTGCTTAGTTTTGGTGGGGCTGATGGTAAGGCCCCACCTCTTAGTGGCACGCTCCAGTCTCAGCAGCAGCGTCTCCAACTCCTCCTCTGACTGAGCAGCTATTACCAAATCATCAGCATACACAACGTGGTTGACCAATAGGGAGCCATCCCTTGACCGCACCCGGGCATCGATCAGCCTCCCATTATATCTGTACCATATGGAGATTCCCCCGGTACAGCTATTGAAGGCTTCACGAACTACGTGGTCAAAATAGATGTTAAATAATGTGGGAGCCAGAGGACACACACACACAGTCACACACACAGTCACAGTCACACACACAGTCATACACACAGTCACACACACAGTCACACACACACAGTCACACACACAGCCACACACACAGTCACAGTCACACACAGAGTCATACACACAGTCACACACACAGTCGCAGTCACACACACAGTCACAGTCACACACAGAGTCATACACACAGTCACACACAGTCACAGTCACACACAACAACAACCGCCATTCGCCACTAAGTGGCGGTGACGTCACCACGACGCTTGTGCCAGGCTAAGCTAGTTTTAGATAGAATTCGTTTTGCATTAGAAGAAGTTACAGCAGCAGAGGTTAGTGTAAATGCTAATCGAGTCTCTCACCTTTCTAAAGAGATGCCACGACTCTAAGGTAATACCAACCGCATTTACACTAACCTCTTCTGCTGTAACTTCTAATGCAAAACGAATTCTATCCAGAACTAGTTTAGCTCTTATCTCAGAAAAAATCAGACTTACGCGCACCGAACTAGATCAGTTAGACAAGACACTCTACAAATCACACATTATTTTCGGCAACAACATCCACATCGGATTGGGAACATGTAGACAATATGACTGCCTCTGCAGCTGTCACTATGTCGACCAAATGTAAGGATAACTTGATTTCCAAATTCAACCACCTCTCCAACAAGAAATCGGAACCACACACCAAAAAGCTATACGTTAACAAAGTCATAATTAATTGCAGTAACAGCTCTATTTCTGATGGTCTGAAATCCGTTTTAGCTAAAGGGCTAAACTTTGCAGTCACACCTAGACACATACCAGTTAATATCATTGCCCATGTCGACGTGGCTCTCAAGGGCCTGGGTCACATCGCTGCAGACGTAGAAAGATCTGAAATCACTGCAACCCTAAAAAACGCTAAGATGCCAGCTAGCAACATCAGCAAAGATGAGCGTTTTGAATTATCTCAATTAAAAAAGAGGGATGACATTGTCATCCTCTCAGCCGACAAGGGTAATGCCACTGTCATCATGGACAAAATCGAATATAACAACAAAATTCAGGAACTACTCAACGATGGCAGCTATACAAAAATAAGAAGAGACCCCACCAACAGCCTCGTCACTAAAACCAACAAAATCATTTCTGATTCAACCGCATTAATTGATCAAACCAAACAGTTCTCGTTGAAACCTTCTGCGGCTAGGCCACCAAGGTTATATGACCTTCCAAAGATACATAAAGAAGATACACCCCTTAGTCCCATTGTTTCTACTATCAACTCCCCCACCTACAAACTGGCTCGTTTTTTGTCTGAAATCCTGCGGCCTTTTACTGGAAAAACCACCTTTGTGGTACTAAACTCTACTCACCTGGTATCGACAATCAAGGGTATTTCCCTGTCCCCAGACGACCTGCTTGTCATTTTTGATGTAGTTTCCTTATTCACCAAAGTTCCTGTACCTGACACCATCACAATCATTGAAGACTTGGTTCATCAAGGAATGCATACTGATGTACCCCCCCCCCCCTGGTGAGACACTGCTTAACCAACACATACTTCACCTGGAATGGAACTTTCTACAAACAAACTGAGGGAACCCCAATGGGCTCCCCGCTATCTCCGTTGTAGCCAACGTTTTCATGGAGAAATTTGAGACTGACGCCATCCATACTGCCACTCTACGCCCGACCTTATGGAAGAGGTACGTGGATGACACTTTCGTCATCTGGCCACATGGCCGGCCTGCTCTAGACCAATTCCTCGACCACATCAATTCCATACACCCAGCCATCAGATTTACCATGGAAGTCTAAAAAGATGGCAAGCTACCCTTTTTGGATGTCCTAATTAAAAGGAGACCTGATGGTTCAATGAGCCACTCTGTCTACAGGAAAGCTACCCATACGGATGCTTACTTAAAACCGGATTCCCACCACCATCCATCCCAGAAGAATTCCCTCATCAATACTCTATACCATAGAGCCCAATGCATCTCCGACCAGGAACACATTGCCAGTGAACTCAAGCACGTACACCAAGCTTTCAAGGCTAATGGTTACTCCGACTACACAATCCGCAAAGCCATCACTCCAACCATGAAGAAGGATCCTCTTGAGGAGCCATTCAAAACAATCACTTTACCCTACATTGCGGGGGTCACAAAAAAGATCTCCAAAATCCTGAATAAACACAAGATCCAGGCCCGATTCAACACAGTACATAAAATCCGTGATCTGGTCCCGTCTGTAAAAGATGTGGTTCCAGACATACAGTACCCGGGCGTCTACAAACTAAGTTGCCTCTGTGGTAACAGTTACATTGGAGAAACCAAACGACATGTCTCGGACCGCATCCGTGAACATAAAGCAGACTTGAAACAAGGTAGAACGAACACCTCAGCCGTGGCAGATCACTGTTATAATTCAGTGGGCTCACATGACATTGACTTCTCCAAGACGGAGGTTCTCTGCAAGCCATCCGGCTACCATGAGAGATTCGTTCATGAGGCCATCCACATATACAAACACAGAGACAATTTCAACCGAGAAGATGGATTATGGCTTAGTAATCATTGGAAAGACATGATAAATCATTTCGGTTCTTGATTGATTGTATTCTACGGTGACTTTCAGACCACAGTCCATTCGCTGGCAGTGCCTCTTAGTACCTTTCACACGACGGTCAATGGTATGGTTTATAGCATATTGTATAATAATAAATAGTATAACAGTGTAATGTTTAACATAACTCATAAGGCAATATATAATATCGTAATTGTATAGTGAAAGAACCCAGAAGATAATTAATCTCTTCTATATATTATTTAGATGTTTACGGTATTTCGTATGTCGGTCATGGAAAATTGGGAAACACGTAGATAAGAGAACGTGTTAGGGCATGAATTACATCTCAACGGATTCGAAGGTTATTTATTGTGTTAAAGGTGTAAGCAAATATACGTATCCAAATGCTCGGATGTAACGCAACAGGACGAATTGCCTCTCAGTGTGCGTGCAACTGTGCCGTGTTGAGTGTGCCGCAGCGCTAGTGAATGGCTGGGGTAGTGGATTGCTTTACAGTGCTGGGTGTTTATAAAGGCCACTGTGATACAGCTGCGATCTGACCACCAGCGCGAGCTAACAAGAGCAGCGTTGTTCCCTACACAGCAGCAGGGTGGCAGAGTCGTGAGCGCAAGGATTAGGGGATCATGATTCCGCGCTGCATCTTCCGTCCCTGGGTAACCTCGGATCCAGTGCCGGATGAAGCTAGTGCGGGTCCTGT